CAGTAGTCAGCCACCAGCTAACCCACTATGGAGGGACTAGTGTGCACTCAATGTGTAAAACTGAGCGTGAAAGAAAGTTTTGTTACAAAGCAGGGTGATTGGATGCCTATTCACTCAATGCACAAATATGCACAGAGCATGTACTGTGTACCTGGCCCTGTCCTAGGCTAAAGTGCGTGAGACACATTCAGAAACCTCAGAACAGACCCTGTAGTGATCAGACTCAACTGTGTAATGAACATGCTCGGTAAAGATTAGACATGTAAGCTGGGATTGGTGGCACACTTGCAATCCTAGCACTCAAGAGGGTGAGGCAGGAGGATCATGAGTTTAAGGCCAGCCTGAGCTGCATAGTGAGATCTCTATCTCAGAACAAAACAAGACTCCCTGCACACAAGATTAGACTTAAAATATCAATCTTACTAACTATCCATCAACCAATTCTCTGCTTGAGGTGATTAGGAGACTTTATGAGGATAGTAGTTTCCTGTGATCCTCTGGAATTAGAGTTTGCTGCCCTTGGTACTCTACTTTGTAGTTGGTCCTTGTTATATGCAGGTTCATTACTCTGTAGAATTTATTTGTAACCCTAGACACATGCAGCCATGAGTTGCCTGATATCTAGGTTCCCAGCTTGAGGTTGAAACAGGTGACATTTTTCTTCTTGTCTCAGCTCTTGTCCTGTAACCAGGTGTCCTTTCTGAGCTCTATTTTGTTGTTTTTGTGCTTTCTATTAGCGATTTCGCTGTGTAAAACAATCCCCAAGTAGAACGGTAGAGCTCTGCCTAGTTTTATGCCTTTCAGAATAAAATACATGCATGCATTAGATAAGCTTTGGTCAGACAGGAGTCACAATAACTAAGTATACCATGGCTGCATCTTTACTGTATTGTGTCTGTGAAGTCAATGTTAATGAATCAACACTATATATTAAAGTGCCTTCAAGCACACATCAAACAAGTTTACATATTGATGATTGCAGCTGTGCTGCTGCCCACAGGGATTCATGCAGAAGAAAATCTGTCTCCTGGGATATCTGGGCCCACAGCCACAGTAAAGGGCTGTTTCCAAGGTTCAGCCTTGGCAGGGTCTTATTTGCCATTTAACAAAAAAACAATTGTAACCAGAGCCTCCCAGGAACCTAAGTAGTGGGTTCTGGCCTGGGGTTGGGTTTTGGTCCGTGTTCTGGTCTTCTGTGTGTGCACACCATTCAGGGTCTTTGGGCACCAGCAATGCTTTCTCGGTTTAGCTCTGACTTTTCTGACCAGCAAGAGGGGGCATCACTTACCCCAGCCTCTCCCCAGGTGACAGCCACAGATGCCGACAGTGGTCCATTTGGCCTCCTCTCCTACTCCTTGGGTGCTGGGCTTGGAGCTTCTGGATCTCCCCCATTCCGCATTGATGCCCACAGTGGTGATGTATGTACCACTCGGACCCTGGACCGTGACCAGGGACCTTCAAGCTTTGACTTCACAGTGACAGCTGTTGATGGGGTAAGTAAATGGACCTTGGCCAGGGATACTGGGGTAGAGTTCTCACCAAGGCTTGGCATAGCCTATTGACTGATGGTTACATGTTCCACCAGGGAGGCCTCAAGTCCATAGTGTACGTGAAGGTGTTTGTGGCTGATGAGAACGACAACCCACCTCAGTTTTATCCACGGGAGTATGCTGCCAGTCTGAGTGCTCAGAGTACACCAGGCACAGCTGTGCTGAGAGTGCATGCCCATGACCCAGACCAGGGACCCCATGGGCGACTCTCCTACCACATCCTGGCTGGCAATAATCCCCCACTCTTTGCATTGGATGCACACTCAGGTGAGAATCCTCCCATCACCAGGACCTGCTATCAGCCCCCTCGTTGCACCCGCCTAAATGATATATTGCCTCCTCTTTCCGGGACCTTTCCCTATTCTTTCCCTCATCTACTTTTGCTTCTCTTCCTTCTCCAGGGCTGTTGACAGTAGCCTGGCCCTTGGCCAGACGGGCTAATTCTGTGGTGCAGCTGGAGATTGGAGCTCAGGATGGAGGTGGCCTGAAAGCAGAACCCATTGCCCGAGTTAACATCAGCATTGTGCCTGGAACCCCCACACCACCTATATTTGAACAACTACAGTATGTTTTTTCAGTGCCAGAGGATGTGGCACCAGGCACTAGTGTGGGCATAGTCCAAGCACACAACCCACCAGGTATCAGATATCCCAGTACTATCTTCCAGTACCATCTCAGGGTGACCTCAGAGCAGCACACCACTGGGAGCTCTAATACAAAACAGTATGGCACACGAACATCACCCTAATGCCAACCAATTTCCCTGCCAACACCTGCCCCTTTCCTTTTTAAAAAATATTTTTTCTTTATTAAGAAATTTTTTATCATTTTACATACCAACCACAGATCCATCTCTCTTCCCTCCTCCCACCCCCCACCCCCAGCCTTCCCTCCCCACCCTCTATTCCCTCTTCCAAAAAGGTAAAGGCCTTCCATGGGGAGTCAGCAGAACTTGGTACATTTAGTTGAGGCAGGTCCAAGCCCCTCCCCCAGCATCAAGCCTGCCCCTTTCCTAATACTGAGTTAAGCACAAATGTGGGAACTGTTTTTTGGATTAATAGGTGACCCATACCCCTTTCCTGATGTTTCTCTCTTTCTCCCTAGGTCGCTTAGGGCCTGTGACCCTCACACTATCAGGTGGGGATCCCCGAGGGCTCTTCTCCCTAGATTCACCCTCAGGGCTATTAAAAACACTTCGGCCCCTGGACCGGGAGCTTCTGGGACCCGTCTTAGAGCTAGAAGTTCGAGCAGGCAGTGGAACCCCCCCAGCTTTTGCTGTGGCTCGGGTCCGTGTGCTGCTGGATGATGTGAATGACAACTCTCCTGCCTTCCCTGCACCTGAAGACACCGTATTACTACCACAAAACACCGCTCCAGGGGCTCCCATCTATACACTGCGTGCTCTAGACCCAGACTCGGGTGCTAATAGTCGGGTCACCTTTAGTCTACTTGCTGGAGGTGATGGAATGTTCACTGTGGATCCTATCACAGGCCATGTCCGGCTTATGGGACCTCTGGGGCCTCCAGGGAGACCAACCCATGAGTTGGAGGTGGAGGCCCGGGATGGAGGCTCCCCACCACGCACCAGCCACTTTCGACTTCGTGTGGTGATACAGGACTTGGGAATCCATGGGCTGGCTCCACAGTTTGACAGCCCTACCTACCGTGTGGACTTGCCCTCAGGCACTGCCACTGGAACTCAGATCTTGCAAGTGCAGGCCCAGGCACCAGATGGCAGCCCTGTCACTTACCATCTTGCAGCAGATGGAGCCAGTAACCCCTTTGGCCTAGAGCCACAGAGTGGGTGGCTGTGGGTACGGGCAGCACTGGACCGTGAGTCCCAGGAGTTATATACATTGAAGGTGATGGCTGTATCTGGTTCCAAAGCTGAATTAGGGCAGCAGACAGGCACAGCCACTGTCAGGGTCAGCATCCTCAACCAAAATGACCACAGTCCCCGCTTGTCTGAAGAGCCCACCTTCCTGGCTGTAGCAGAGAATCAGCCCCCAGGGACAAGTGTAGGCCGAGTCTTTGCCACAGACAGAGACTCAGGACCTAATGGGCGTCTGACCTACAGCCTTCGGCAGCTGTCAGAAGACAGCAAGGCCTTCCGCATCCACCCCCAGACTGGTAAGCACTGAGACCTCACAACCTCATCTCCAGACTGGCAAATACCCAGATAAGATCTCCAGCCCAGATCTTGGCTGTAAGCATGGGGATTCAGACTGGAGTTGGGCCCTGGTACTTGCCCACATTCCCCAGCCACTAATCTGTAGTTCCCAGGCTCTGAATCCTTAAACATCCCATCACAATCTCCATCTTCACTTCCAGGAGAGGTAACTACACTCCAAACCCTGGACCGAGAGCAGCAGAGCAGCTTCCAGCTCCTGGTGCACGTGCAGGATGGGGGGAGTCCGCCTCGCAGTGCCACAGGCACTGTGCATGTTGCAGTACTCGACCTCAACGACAACAGTCCCACCTTCCTGCAGGCTTCAGGGGCTGCTGGTGGGGGCCTCCCTCTACAGGTGAGGAAAGTGTCAGGACCACATTCTGAAGAGGTGTAAGAGAGATGGGGAGGGGCCTCCCGATTGAGCTGTGCATATAGGTAAGAGAGACTCCCTCCTAGAACAGGTATTAAGACAAAAGGAAGACAGTTCCTCCTAGACATAGGTGAATGAAAGCCAATTCTGGGTTATTTTAAGCGGTGGAAGGAGACAACTGTAGGTGAGTTGTGTTTCCCCACAGGTGCCAGACCGCGTGCCTCCAGGAACACTGGTGACCACTCTGCAGGCCAAAGATCCAGATGAGGGGGAGAACGGGACCATCCTGTACACCCTAACTGGTATGAGGGCGAGGAGGAGGGAGCCTGGGAGTAGTGATCAGCGCTCTCATGGCCTTCCTTGCTCTGGCTGCCAAAACCTCATCCTTCCTCTGCTTGTCCCCAGGTCCTGGCTCGGAGCTCTTTTCTCTGCATCCTCACACAGGAGAACTGCACACTGCAGCATCCCTGATTAGAGCGGAGCGGCCCCACTATGTGCTAACTCTGAGCGCTCACGATCAAGGCAGCCCCCCTCGAAGTGCCAGCCTGCAACTGCTGGTGCAGGTATGGCTGCCATTCCTAAAGTCCCCTGGTCTGGGTCCCCTCCTATAGATTCAGCTTCTTGAGATCCTTAGACCCTTTGTCAGTCCACTCTGACTAACCTTCCCCTACTACCCAAGAAGCCAGCACAGACCCTCTTTTACACAGATCCTCCTGATTCAGTTTTCCCGTTCTGGTGCACAATAGGTGCTTCCCTCCACCCGCGCGGTGGAGTCGCCGGATCTCACTGAACCTGACCCTGGAGCAACAGTGCCTGTAGTCCTGACGGTGACAGCAGCTGAAGGACTTCGACCTGGATCCCTATTGGGTTCGGTGGCCCCGCAGGAGCCAGTCAATGTGGGTGCACTCACCTACACTCTGGTGGGTGGCGCCGACCCCGAGGGTACCTTCGCCCTGGACTCGGTGTCTGGTCGCCTGTACCTGGCGCGTCCCTTGGACTTCGAGGCCGGGCCGGCCTGGCGCTCGCTCACGGTGCGCGCCGAGGGGCCGGGAGGCGCAGGCGCGCGGCTGTTGAGAGTGCAGGTGCGTGTGCAGGACGAGAACGAGCACGCTCCTGCTTTCGCGCGCGACCCCCTGGCACTGGCGCTACCCGAGAACCCCGATCCCGGCGCCACGCTGTACACTTTCCGTGCATCGGACGCAGATGGCCCAGGTCCCAACAGCGACGTGCGATACCGCCTGCTGAGGCAGGAGCCCCCGGTGCCCGCCCTGCGCTTGGACGCGCGCACCGGGGCGCTCAGCGCTCCCCGCGGCTTGGATCGGGAGACTACGCCGGCGCTGCTGCTGCTGGTTGAAGCCACCGACCGGCCAACCAATGCCAGCCGCCGCCGGGCAGCGCGCGTTTCGGCGCGCGTCTTTGTCACGGATGAAAACGACAACGCCCCAGTCTTCGCCTCCCCTTCACGGGTGCGGCTCCCGGAGGATCAGCCGCCCGGACCCGCGGCGCTGCACGTGGTAGCTCGGGACCCGGACCTGGGGGAGGCTGCCCGCGTGTCCTATCGCCTTGCGGCTGGAGGGGACGGCCACTTCCGGCTACACGCTACCACTGGTGAGAGTTGGGCCTGGAGTGGGAGGCGTGGAGGGTGCTCAAGTGCAAGGAATGCTGAAGTTGGCTACCGACCTCCTTACTGCTGCCTAGGAGCGCTGTCCGTGGTGCGGCCTCTGGACCGAGAACAACGAGCTGAGCACGTACTGACAGTGGTGGCCTTGGACCATGGCTCCCCGCCACGTTCATCCACTCAACTCCTGACTGTCAGTGTTGTTGACATCAACGATGAGGCACCCGCTTTCCCTCAGCAAGAGTACAGCATCCTCCTTCGTGAGAACAGTCCGCCTGGCACATCTCTGCTCACTCTGAAGGCAACTGACCCTGACCTTGGTAAGACCTGTAGGAATAAATTATGGAAGGGATGGAGTAGGGGGTGAATTGTTAGAGGGATCGAGCAAGGGAATAAAAGATATACTTACCCGTCTGATCATCCTCCATGCTGCCTGTCTTTAGGGGCCAATGGGCAAGTGACTTATGGGGGTGTCTCTGGCGAGAGCTTCTCTCTGGACCCAAACACTGGAGTTCTCACGACTCTGAGGGCCCTGGATCGGGAGGAGCAGGAGGAGATCAACTTGACAGGTATACTGACAGGACCGCCAAAAGCTAGAGGCAGTGTGTACAACACAGCTCCGGTTACGTTTTGGGAGCTTCAAGGTAGAGTGTAAGATGAACTAACTTCTAACCTGTCATCACGAATTTTCCAGTGCATACTGCACTCTTTACACCTCCTTTGATTATACTGAAGCCATTTAGCAGAGGAGCATATTGGCATTAGCAGAGGGGTTAAGTGACCTGCTCAAGCTAACAGGGATTGGAAATGGCAGGGCAGAGAGTTGAGTTCAGGCTTTGATACCTAATTTATTGTTTCTGACACATTACCACTAACTGAAGCTAGTTGCATATAGCCATCATGGGATGTAGAAAGGAAAAGAGAGTTTTCTGACCTGTGTGTTATGTATGCCCATCTGTGCACCCCAGGGTGCGCTGTGAGATAGACATTTTCTGTTTTATATGTGTACCTGGTGAACATGTGTATGGGTTTCTCCATGGCATGAGATAGGGTAGATCTTGTTGATTTTGTTTCTCCACAGTATATGCCCGGGACAGGGGCTCGCCACCCCTGATGACTCATGCCATAGTTCGAGTGACTGTGGAAGATGAGAATGACCATACTCCAACCTTTGGGAACACCCACCTCTCCCTGGAAGTGCCTGAAGGCCAGGACCCCCAAACCCTTACCACCCTACGGGCCTCTGATCCAGACAGGGGGCTCAATGGAAAGCTACAGTACCGCATCCTAGGTGAGAGGCGTCCAGGGCCACAAGGCCAGCACCTACTTGCCTGGTTCTTGCTGTTCCTTGGCTCTTGTCATTTTATGATGATGTTTCTATGTCTCTTTCCCCTTCTTCTATCTATTTCTTTCCAGCCAATAGGTATATTTAAGTTACCTCTTCTAGCGTCTCCAGTTCTTTAACCTTCCCTATGTCTGTTGTCTTTATCCTATTCCTTTTACTTGTCTCTCCACAGAGTCAGTTGTTTTCAAACATTTTTGGTCTCAGGGACTCTTAAAACTTTGTTCTATGTGATAGGGTCTCAACTATGTTACCAGGCTGGTCTTGAACTCATGATTGTCCAATTTCAGGCTCCAGAGTGGTGGGTATTATACTACTAAGCCAGGTATGCTTTTAAGTGTTGATAATCCCAAAAGGTTCATAGGTAGTATGTTAAAAAACAGTGTTTGCTATGTTTCATATTAAAACTTACAAAAATTAGATATCATAGAGGAACAAACGATTAAGGATATTGCTTGCTATTTCTCCATAGGCATAAGAAAATGTTAAGATTTCAAACAAACTGTTGAACAGTATTGAAGTTGCAGTTATCTTAAATGTAACTAAAGGTCACCAGGGTAAATTGACTCTCTGAAAAAATAACTTTTTTTTAAACGTAGAATATTCTGGAAAACACAGTACACAAATACTTGTTCTGTTAACCAAAGGAGAATGCCATACAACATCCACAAACCCCACTTTACATTTGTGAGATAATGAGAATGGAAAGGCATATAATGTTTTAGGAAAATACTTTGATTATATATATTGAAAGGATCTTGGGGGACTGAGGGGTCCCAAGATCACACTCTGTGTGATTTATAGTGTTCCTCTTTGCCCTTGGTGTTTCTCTTTTCTCTTTGCCTTTGTGTTTCTTTGCCTTTCTCCCAGCTCTCTTCTACGGCTTGTATTCCTGTTGTTACCTACAAGTTACTCCTACTCATGAGCTAACATGTGCATGTTTGTGTGTGCATATTCTCTGCAGATGGAGACCCTTCAGGAGCCTTTGTCCTAGATCTCACTTCTGGGGAGTTTGGCACCATGAGGCCACTAGACCGGGAGGTAGAGCCATCATTCCAGCTGCAGATAGAGGCCAGGGATGGAGGCCAGCCAGCCCTCAGTGCCACCTTGCTTGTGACAGTGACAGTGCTGGATGCCAATGACCATGCCCCAGCCTTTCCTGTGCCTGCTTATGCTGTGGAGGTACCTGAGGATGCACCTGCAGGGACCCTACTGCTGCAACTACAGGCTCATGACCCTGATGATGGGGACAATGGTCGTGTGATGTACTACCTGGGTGCAGGTACCGCGGGGGCCTTCCTACTGGAGCCTACCTCTGGAGAGCTGCGCACAGCTACTGCCTTGGACAGAGAACACTGTGCCAGCTACGCCTTCTCTGTGAATGCCGTGGATGGTGCAGCTGCTGGGCCCCTGAGCACCACCGTACCGATCACCATCACGGTGCGTGATGTCAACGATCACGCACCTACTTTCCCCACCAGTCCTCTGCGCCTCCGCCTACCCCGCCCAGGTCCTAGCCTCGGTACACCAACCCTGGCTCTAGCCACACTTCGAGCTGAAGATCGAGATGCTGGTGCCAATGCCTCCATTCTATACCGGCTGGCGGGCACACCACCACCTGGCACCACTGTGGACTCTTACACTGGTGAAATCCGTGTGGCTCGCTCTCCTGTAGCTCTGGGACCTCGGGATCGCGTCCTCTTCATTGTGGCCACTGACCTTGGCCGACCAGCTCGCTCTGCCACTGGTGTGGTCATTGTTGGAATACAAGGAGAGTCTGAGCGTGGGCCTCGCTTTTCCCGAGCTAGTAATGAGGCTGTTCTCCGTGAAAATGCACCCCCAGGTTGGTGCCCAGTTATGTGTCCCAGATTTGAGCCCCTGGAAGGACTGGAGTTAGTCACTGACAATGTAGTGACCACAGTCCAGCCAATGCCACACGTCTTTCTCTTGTCCTCCCTACAGGAACTCCCGTCATCTCCCTAAAGGCTGTCCATTCAGGGGGCTCAAATGGACCAATCACCTATAGCATTCTCAGTGGGAATGAGAAAGGGATATTCTCCATCCAGCCTAACACAGGTAAGGAACAGGAAAAGTTTTGTAAGGAGAAAGGCTCCTGGAGGAGTAGGTTCTCTGGGCCAGAGCGGCTTTTGGTGGGAGGAGGAGTTGCCCTCAGAGAAGAAGGCTCCAGAGCAAAGAAAGGAGCTGTGGCTGACGCAGGCTGTCTCCCATAGGAGCCGTTACAGTTCGCTCCGCAGAGGGGCTTGACTTTGAGACAAGCCCACGGCTACGACTGGTACTGCAAGCCGAGAGTGGAGGAGCCTTTGCTTTCTCAGTGCTGACCCTGACCCTTCAAGATGCCAATGACAATGCTCCCCGTTTCCTGCGGCCTCACTATGTGGCTTTCCTGCCAGAGTCCCGACCCTTGGAAGGGCCCCTGCTACAGGTGTGGGGTGTGGTGGGAAGATCAGGGACAGGGCTGGTCGGACTTGTTTGTGGCCACGCCCGTGTCAGCAATCTTCCCCTCTTACTAGGTGGAAGCAGATGACCTGGATCAAGGCTCCGGAGGACAGATCTCTTATAGTCTGGCTGCATCCCAGCCAGCACGGGGCTTATTCCATGTAGACCCAGCTACAGGCACTATCACTACCACAGCTATCCTAGACCGGGAAATCTGGGCTGAAACACGGTGAGACCTGGCACCTGTGAGTCCAAGACCCCATCTTGAGTCTGTATGGATTCAAGCCCTGTCTTGCATCTCTCTCACTCCCCGGGGCACACCTTGAATTCCTCCTAGGAATTGTCATGAATCCTCCTTGCCCTTCCCAGGGTTCATTCCTATCTCTAGGCCCTGCTCCCTGACTGTGCTCTGTATCTAGGCTGGTACTGATGGCCACAGACAGAGGAAGCCCAGCCCTGGTGGGCTCAGCTACCCTGACAGTGATGGTCATCGATACCAATGACAATCGCCCCACCATCCCCCAGCCCTGGGAGCTCCGAGTGTCAGAAGGTGAGGGCTGAGTAAAACAACAGGTGTAAAGGGCTCCCATAGTGAGGAGAACTAACTCTGCAGTCACCTTTCCCTCATGTTTTGCAGATGCACTGTTGGGCTCAGAGATTGCACAGGTAACTGGAAATGATGTGGACTCTGGACCAGTGCTGTGGTATGTGCTGAGTCCATCTGGGCCTCAGGATCCCTTCAGTATTGGCCGCTATGGAGGACGTGTCTCCCTCACGGGCCCCCTGGACTTTGAGCAATGTGACCACTACCACCTACAGCTGCTGGCACATGATGGACCTCATGAGGGCCATGCCAACCTCACAGTGCTCGTGGAGGATGTCAATGACAATGCACCTATCTTCTCACAGAGCCTCTACCAGGTACCAACTCTTTCTGGATGTCCCCATGCCCGGGCCTGGGACTGTTCCTGTTGGAGCAATATAACAGAGGTAGACAAGTGGCTAGACTGGGCTAGATGTTGGGGTTGATGTAAGAATGGGTGGGAAGTGTCCTATTTTAGGCCAGCTTCCCACGTCCTGTGAACTGCATCCAAGTTCTGCATTCTGTGATGAGAAGGGAGAAAGTGGGCAGTTCTTATTCCTGTGCTGGGGAATATGGTTCTTAGCTGGATGCCAAGTACAGTTCATAGGGCTGACCTCCAGCTCATAGGCTAAGGGGGACAGCAGGGCAGCTGGGAAGCTTGGCCTGGAATACTTTCTGCTACTCTTCAGGTGATGATGTTGGAGCACACCCCGCCAGGCAGTGCCATTCTCTCCGTCTCTGCCACTGACAGAGACTCTGGCGCCAATGGTCACATTTCCTACCATCTGGCTTCCCCTGCCGAGGGCTTCAATGTTGACCCCAACAATGGTATGTCTTTCCCAGAATCTGATCCCTTTATCATTGATTCTATTGGGTTATATTTGGCACTCAATCTTAAAATTTGCTACTTCGTCGTATCTCGACTCCTGGATCTCTGACCCAGGGAGGACATCCACTGCCCCCTATCTTTAATAAAAGTCCCTCCTGACTGTATATCTAGAAGCTGTTTCCTGAGCTTTGAATACCTGAGGACACTACATACTGTCCCAGCACACGGGCTGTACCTAGGAGTCTGACTCCCAAAGCCGTTGCCTAGACTCTGGAGAATTGCTCTTGTTGACACAGTGACATCACTGAATGATTATTTCTTTCCCTACCTTTCTCATCTCAGGAACTCTGTTCACAACAGTAGGAGCAGTGGCCTTGGGCCATGAGGGGCCAGGAGTGGTGGATGTGGTGCTGGAAGCACGAGACCATGGGGCTCCAGGCCGGGTGGCACGGGCCACCGTGCATGTGCAGCTGCAGGACCAGAATGACCATGCCCCGAGCTTCACACTGCCACACTACCGTGTTGCTGTGTCTGAAGATTTGCCCCCTGGTTCCACCCTGCTCACCCTGGAGGCCACAGATCCTGATGGAAGCCGCACTCATGCCACTGTGGACTACAGCATCATCAGTGGCAATCGGGGCCGAGTCTTCCAGCTGGAACCCCGGCTGGCTGAGGCGGGAGAGGGTGTTGGGCCAGGTCCCCAGGCACTGGGCTGCCTAGTGTTGCTTGAGCCTCTAGACTTTGAAAGCCTGGCACAGTACAATCTAACTGTGGCTGCGGCTGATCGGGGACAGCCACCCCGCAGTTCAGCCGTGCCAGTGACTGTCACTGTACTGGATGTCAATGACAACCCACCTGTCTTTACCCGAGCATCCTACCGTGTGACAGTACCTGAGGACATGCCTGTTGGAGCTGAGCTATTGCATGTGGAAGCCTCTGATGCTGACCCTGGACCTCATGGCCTTGTGCATTTCACCCTCAGCTCAGGTGACCCTTTGGGGCTCTTTGAGCTGGATGAGAACTCGGGTGCTTTGCGACTGGCCCGTCCTCTGGACTGTGAAACCCAGGCTCGACACCAGCTTGTGGTACAGGCAGCTGATCCTGCTGGAACACACTTTGCTTTGGTACCAGTAACAGTTGAGGTCCAGGATGTGAATGACCATGGTCCAGCCTTCCCATTGAATCTGCTCAGTACTAGCCTTGCTGAGAACCAGCCTCCAGGCACTCTAGTGACCACACTACATGCAATTGATGGGGATGTTGGGACTTTTGGTAGACTTCAGTACAGCCTATTGGAGGCAGTGCCAGGGCCTGAGGGTCGTGAAGCATTTTCACTGAACAGCTCAACAGGGGAATTGCGGGCACGGGTGCCTTTTGACTATGAGCACACAGGAAGCTTCCGTCTGCTAGTGGGTGCTGCTGATGCTGGGAATCTCTCAGCCTCTGTCACTGTGTCAGTGCTGGTTACCGGAGAAGATGAATATGACCCTGTATTCCTGGCTCCAACTTTCCACTTCCAAGTGCCAGAAGGTGCCCAGCGTGGCCACAGCCTGGGTCATGTGCAGGCCACAGATGAGGATGGGGGTGCCGATGGCCTGGTGCTCTATTCGCTGGCTACCTCTTCCCCTTATTTTGGTATCAACCAGACGACAGGTGCTTTGTACCTGCGAGTGGACAGTCGGGCACCAGGAAGTGGAACAACCACCTCTGGGGGTGGTGGCCGGACCCGACGAGAAGCACCTCGGGAGTTAAGGCTGGAGGTAGTAGCAAGAGGGCCTCTGCCTGGATCCCGGAGTGCCACAGTACCTGTGACTGTGGATATTACCCACACTGCTCTGGGCCTGGCACCTGACCTCAATTTGCTATTGGTAGGAGCCGTGGCAGCCTCTTTGGGAGTTGTGGTGGTGCTTGCTCTGGCAGCTCTGGTCCTGGGCCTTGTTCGAGCACGGAGCCGCAAGGCTGAGGCCGCCCCTGGCCCAATGTCACAAGCAGCACCCATAGCCAGTAGCTCTTTACAGAAGCTGGGCCGGGAACCCCCGAGTCCACCACCCTCTGAACACCTGTATCATCAGACTCTCCCCAGCTATGGTGGGCCAGGAGCTGGAGGGCCCTACCCTCGTGGTGGCTCCCTGGACCCTTCACATTCAAGTGGCCGAGGCTCGGCAGAGGCTGCAGAGGATGACGAGATCCGCATGATCAATGAGTTTCCCCGTGTGGCCAGTGTTGCCTCCTCCCTGGCTGCCCGAGGCCCTGACTCAGGCATCCAGCAGGATGCAGATGGATTGAGTGACACATCCTGTGAGCCTCCTGCCCCTGACACCTGGTATAAGGGCCGAAAGGCAGGGTTGCTGCTGCCAGGTGCAGGAGCCACTCTGTACCGAGAGGAGGGGCCCCCAGCCACTGCTACAGCCTTCTTGGGGGGCTGTGGCCTGAGCCCTGCACCCACTGGGGACTATGGCTTCCCAGCAGATGGGAAGCCATGTGTAGCTGGTGCACTGACAGCCATTGTGGCTGGTGAGGAAGAGCTCCGTGGCAGCTATAACTGGGACTACCTGTTGAGCTGGTGCCCTCAGTTCCAGCCTCTGGCCAGTGTCTTCACAGAGATAGCTCGGCTCAAGGATGAAGCTCGGCCATGTCCTCCTGCTCCCCGTATTGACCCGCCACCCCTCATCACTGCTGTGGCCCACCCAGGAGCCAAGTCTGTTCCCCCGAAACCTGCAAGCACAGCTGCAGCCCGGGCCATCTTCCCACCAGCCTCTCACCGCTCCCCCATCAGCCATGAAGGCTCCCTGTCCTCAGCTGCCATGTCTCCCAGCTTCTCACCCTCACTGTCTCCTTTGGCTGCTCGCTCCCCCGTTGTCTCACCTTTCGGGGTAGCCCAGGGCCCCTCAGCTTCAGCACTCAGCACAGAGTCTGGCCTGGAGCCGCCTGATGACACAGAGCTGCGCATCTAGCTGTGGCCCTAACTGGGCCCCGACCTGGGATACGTACAGTGTCCCCAAAGCAGGCCCCATTCTCAGCCTGCCCTGGGCAGCCTCGGATCATGACTGACCATGGGGAGGCCACCACCAGTCCCCAGCTCTCCACCCGGAACTCTTCTAGTTGGGTCAGGCCCCACATTTCACCCCAGTCTCCTTGGCACTAGGACCACAGAGGGGCTGTTGGTCACTGACCTGTGGCCAGATCCAGTGTGGGGAGAAATAAGAATGAGGCAACAGCCTTGGGTTCTTTTCAGCCAAGACTTCCTGTCCTGCACCAGCACCCTGCAATGGAGCTGAGACTTTATTTATTGGGGGGTAGGGGGATGGGGGAGGTCCCTCCAACCTGTTAGGGCCCAGCTTCTTTGGGTTCCTCTGACACCCCTGCCCCTGCCCAGAACAAGTGCCAATTCTCACTCTGGAGCCTTAATAAACTGCAGTTTGTATCCAGCCTCCGGCTCTGTTCTGTCAGGGTAACCAGAAGTCACCTGGAATGGTACTGCGGAGACCTGGCATACATAGTACCTTAGGAGGCCCAAAGAGGTGGAACACACCAGGACATCTGGAGTAGGGCTGGCACTGGGAGCTCAGGAGCCTAGCCCTGGTCTCTCCGAAGCTTTTCCCTCTGACATGAGCAGGAACTCAGGGGCAGTGGTTCCTGGAGAGACGAGCTAAACAGAGAGAAGTCTAGGGTTCTAAGCCCGAGGGTCTAGAAAAAGATGGGGGTGGTTACAAGAACAAGTAAGTGAAGAGATCCTCAACCCTGCCCATGCACGCCTACCTTGGAATCGTGAAATGTCCACCTTAATCAGAGCTCACATTTGCTGAGTCTTTGCCAGGTCAGCCTCAGCTACGCGATTTGCTTGCTTTATCTCAGTGTCCATTTTCACTCTCAAGTACGAGCTAGATTGCTTTTATCTAACAGTCACTGAATTTTAAATGAAGAAACCTAAGCTCTGAGAGCTTAGTTTTCTAATATTGTACAGTCAGGAGTAGCCCACACCTATGAACCTTCACAGCCCACTCCTTTGTGGTTCCTGGAGAGACAGACTTGGGCATCAGGTGAGGAGCCCTGGGCTTGGATGCTCAATACAGTATAGAGGAGGTAGTCTGATAGCAGCCACTGCATTCAAAACAGCTCATTTGGGAGGGAGGAGTCAGCAACGTCACTAGTTACTAGGCAGGGAGGTGGAGGAGGTGACAGACAGTGCTCATGTGACTTGTCACATGACTTCAGATCAGCCGAAAGCCAAAATGGGACGCCAAACCTGGTGAGAAACTGAGGTGGGGAGGGTAGCCAAAGGGGATTACATTAGAGGGGTCACATGTGGAGGGAATACAGTGGTGGTTCAGCTCCTGATGGAACCCACCTGCCGTCCCTGCAGCCTCCTAGGGCTCCTTGCTCTCGTCATCACTGGCAAATGCACTTATAGCCCTGAGCCGGACCAGCGGTGGATGTGAGTTGATTTCGAACTGCCCATGCCTTCCCTTACCCTTCTCTGCAGTCACCGACCTGGTCCTAGCTTTCCTCACTCTTACAACTGCTCCTAGTGCCCACTCTCTAGCCTTACCCGACACCCCTTAGACTTAATCTCCTGCCTTAACCTCCTCTGAAACTTATCTGCGTCTGGAATTCCACCCAAAGTCTCAGCTCTTAATCCCAAACTCTCCACGACCTGGGATTTCCCATCTGTGGCCTAACCAAGTCATATCCCTGGTCCTGCAGGCTGCCCCCAGGCTGGGTGTCCCTGGGCCGCGTGGACCCTGAAGAAGAGCTGAGTCTCACTTTTGCCCTGAAACAGCAGAACCTGGAAAGACTCTCGGAGCTGGTGCAGGCTGTGTCGGACCCCAGCTCTCCTCAATACGGTGCCTATCAGCTATCAGAAGTGGGGGCAGAAAGTGGGAGGCAGGAACAGGCAGGCACTGGCTGGTGCAGGTCATGTAGGGTCATGTTTCTAGTATGACACAAATTGGCAGTAACTGCCACATTCATGTACACACATACCCCAAATTTAACATCTGAGTTCTTCAGTTTTAAAACAACAAATCTAGGCCTATTGGCATGAGGTAGTAATCCTAGCTACTCAGGCTAAAGCAGGAAGGTTTTGAATCCAAGGCCTGCCTGAGCAGTGTAGCAAGACTGTCAAGATTTTTTTTTAAAGTGGTTTTTTTTTTGGGGCGGGGGGAGCTTAGGTAACTCAATGGTAGGGTACTCACCTAGTGTGTGTAAAACCATAGGTTCAACCTCCAGTAAGACGAGGGTTGGGGTGGGGTAGATATGTTTGAGAGCACGTTTTATAATCAGATCTAGATTAAAATTTTGACTTCTACTTATCAGCTACCAAATGGAGAAATAGCACTTAGTATGTATAATTATCAAATCATGGCCGTTCCCCTGATGTCGTACCTAGTCCTACACTCTCCTCTCTTCCAATCCTGAAGTTGCTAGTTCAACTCCTAAATCGTCTTTGGATTAATCTTCCCTGGCCATCCCTCTTGCCATCATCTCAGTTGTTTATTCTCTCTCCTGGACTACTGCCCAGCACCCTGACTGGTTTGCAGTTTCCTCTCCTCTACCCCACTCCCCAGAGCACTCCTCACACTATTCCAGAGCATTCTCTCTGATGGCCAGGCTGGATTGAATCCTTTCCCTGCTTAAAGTTCTGCATGGTGAGGAAAGGGTGTGTGTGTGTGTGTGTGTGTGTGTGAGAGAGAGAGAGAGAGAGAGAGAGAGAGAGAGAGAGAGAGAATGAGAATGGAGGCGGGGGAGAGAGGCATCTTCAGATCACCCAAGAAGCTCTTTGCATGCAGGGAAGAATGACTCACCATTACGTTGTTTAAAGTCAACAAGTATGAAGATCTGAGCTAAATTAGATGGTTCTGTATAATTGGCTCCAAAAGTTTGGAAACAATTTTTTTGAAGATAAGCTTAAAATGGGGCATTTAAAGTTTATTAACCTCCTTGAATTTGTGTGACTATGGCAGTGCATGCTGTGCATATTTCCTGGCCATGACGTTCCAAGTCTCTCTAGCCTTTTCTCCCCTTAGATTACCAATATGCCTAGCACCTACACAAACCTCCTTGGGAAGTCTTGGTGTCTACTGATTGAGGTCCAAACAGGCAACCCAAAAGAGCCACTAATCAAGACAAGATCCTCTTCTGAACCCCTGCAGGAAAGTACCTAACCCTACAGGATGTAGCTGAGCTGGTCCAACCAGCACCACTGACCCTGAGCACCGTCCAAAAATGGCTCTTGGCAGCTGGAGCCCGGAACTGCCATTCAGTGACTACACGGGACTTTGTGACCTGCTGGTTAAGTGTCTGGTGAGAAGTAATGATTACCCCATGGAGTTAATTGCCCCACCAAGGAGATAAAATACCCCCAAAGGAGGAAGTTGAAAGCTTGCTGAGAGCCTGTGGGTATAGCTAATGCATGGGAAGATGACTGGCTAGTAAGTGGAACTCGGGCCATTTCTGCTCCCCTCCATGCTTCCTGTTTTCTGACTTCCAGGCAGGCTGAGCTGCTGCTACCTGGGGCTGAGTTCCATCGCTATGTGGGGGGACCTTCGGAGACCCATGTTGTAAGGTCCCCACATCCCTACCAGCTCCCCCAGGCCTTGGCCCCTCATGTGGACTTTGGTAAGCCCAATGGGGTTGGTGGAGGTTGGGGAAGGCAGATCTAGAGGCTGAAGTGTAGATGCCACAAGAGGCATAGGGTGTTGGCAGTAGCAAAGTAAGTGGTAGTGTCTGTAAGCCCTCCTTAAGCCTGACTCCTTTCCACAGTGGGGGGACTGCACCGTTTTCCCCCCACGTCATCTCTGAGACAACGCCCAGAGCCACAGGGGGTAGGAACTGTTGGCCTGCACCTGGGAGTGACGCCATCTGTGCTCCGGCAGCGATACAACCTGACAGCACAAGATGTGGGCTCTGGCACCACCAACAACAGCCAGGCCTGTGCCCAGGTGAGCCATGAGAAGCCCTGGGGTCCTCACAACCTCCTCAAGATATCTTTAATGCCTTACTACGCTGGGCCTCACTCTCTGATCCATGATCCCTGATTTGACTGTTTCCACAGTTCCTGGAACAGTATTTCCATAACTCAGATCTGACTGAGTTCATGCGCCTGTTCGGTGGCGATTTTGCACACCATGCATCAGTAGCCAGAGTGGTTGGAAAACAGGGGCGAGGCAGAGCTGGAATCGAGGCCAGTCTAGATGTGGAATACCTGATGAGTGCTGGTGCCAACATCTCCACTTGGGTCTACAGTAGCCCTGGTATTGCTAAAAGAATTAGTTGGGGGTGGTGGGAGAAATGGGTTGGGGTAGGCTGTTGATCTCTGCCTCATTTTGTCAAGGGGATGCTGTAAACTGAAGGGAGAGTCTAGCAACTCTTCAATGACCACCCGTATCCCTTCTTTTAAAACAATCCAGGCCGGCATGAGGCACAGGAGCCCTTCTTGCAGTGGCTCCTGCTTCTCAGTAATGAGTCAACCTTGCCAAATATACATACTGTGAGTTACGGAGATGATGAAGACTCTCTCAGCAACGTCTACATGCAGAGAGTCAACACTGAGTTCATGAAGGCTGCTGCTCGGGGTCTCACCCTACTTTTTGCCTCAGGTAACCCACCCTAAACTTCTACTTCTCACCTGCCCAACCTGGACATGTTGCCCCAATTGACACTTCAGCCTGGTTTCTGCCTCATAATAAAACTCAGAGCCTTAACAGGGACTGACGTGACCTGTAAACTCTGACCTACAGTAAAAGGTGACACCTACATTTCTTCTCTGGCATATGAGCCTACACCCTGAGTTCTCACCAACTAATCTGAATATTTACTATGTCTCTCCTAGGTGACACTGGAGCTGGGTGTTGGTCTGTCTCTGGAAGACACAAGTTCCGCCCTAGCTTCCCTGCTTCTAGGTAAGCACCCCTCCAATCTTTCATTTGTGACTCTGACCCCACCAGGTGCTGCTATGGATCAGCCTTCAGCTTTACCTGTCTTGATTGCTGTACTCCCTCTTTTCTTCATGTGTGTCCCAGGCTACTAGACTCCTGAGCAGAACATGGCTACCAATGTTTCTCTTTCTTAGTCTCTAGGCATTTTAGTTGCAGGATTTTGTTTTGTTTTGTTTTTCATGTAGAAAAAAAGTATGCACAATCAACTCAAGCCATGTCTTGAGAGCTTTCAATCTCTCAATAAACCCTGTATGCAGGTTTTCACAGTCTTATTCCCTTTTCCAGTAAGACCCAGACTATACCCACCCACTCCACCCATCTTTGGAGCCACCCACTGTCTGAATACTGCCCTCTCTTTAGCCCCTATGTCACTACAGTAGGCGGCACCTCCTTCAGGAATCCATTCTTCATCACAAATGAAGTAGTTGACTACATCAGTGGTGGAGGCTTCAGCAATGTTTTCCCACAGCCTTCATACCAGGTTTGTGCATGTTCATGTGGATATTTGGAGGATAGCAGCGGGGTGGGGGAAGTGATCCTCAGTCCAGCAGCCTGCTGAACAGGCTACTGGCCAATACTCAGACTCAGAAATGTCCTTCAGGGGGAAGCAGTGGCCCAGTTCCTGAAGTCCAGCTCTCATCTACCACCATCTAGTTACTTCAATGCTAGTGGCCGTGCCTACCCAGACGTTGCTGCACTTTCTGATGGCTACTGGGTAGTCAGCAACAGGGTCCCCATTCCATGGGTGTCTGGAACCTCGGTGAGAATCAGTTTGGCTCTAAATCCTCTACTCAGGAACTACCCTTATTCCTCTACCTACAAAACCTTGTACCCAGAATCCCTGATTCCTTAGAGACTTCTGATCTTTGCAAGAATCATTCCGCAAAAGTCTAATCACTCTGAAACCCTGACCTATTCTTGCATCTTCATCTTGCAGGCCTCTACTCCAGTGTTTGGGGGAATTTTATCCTTGATAAATGAGCACAGAATCCTCAATGGCCGCCCCCCTCTTGGCTTTCTCAATCCAAGGCTCTATAAACAGCATGGGGCAGGCCTCTTTGATGTAAGTGTTGGAGGAAAGAGGGTGGATGTTGTCATAGGATATGGGAAGGGCTAATATGAACTTGGGGCACTTTTACTATATGGGATTGTCTCTGTGATATGAATATAAATAAGTACAGTCTAGAAGTACTGGTACCAGCAGGCCCAGATCTGATGTCTACCACCTCCTCCAAGGTAACCCATGGATGCCATGAGTCCTGTCTGAATGAAGAAGTGGAGGGTCAGGGTTTCTGCTCTGGTCCTGGTTGGGATCCTGTGACAGGTTGGGGAACACCCAACTTCCCAGCCCTACTGAAGACTCTACTCAACCCTTGACCCTTTCCTGCTGGGAAAGCAGAACTGTCCTGTGTGCTACTGGAGAAGGCTTAGTCCCCTATTCTGCCTCAATGGAAGCCCTGCTAAACTCTTAACTCTTGCCTCCTGCAGACATCTTTTCCCTAGTCCTCAAATGCTGCAAGCAGGACTTGATTCCCAACCCTATTGTGTTCCATCAAACTCAGGTCTCCTAACTCAACAAGATGTTATAACCAGCATATTTTGTCTCACCCTTCCCTGTCTCTTCTTCCTCTTTCCAACTTGAGACGTGAAAAGAGGATGAGGATGTTGTCTTCCCATTACTGATACTATCAGGCCCATCTGGGGCTTACCACCTCTGCACTGACTGTATGCTCTATTTCTCTTCAAGTTTTCTTCCTAATGCACTGTTAATGAGACCTTTGCACTAATTGTTTAGTTTTTCTTCCCCTGGCACTGAAGCGAAATGGTCTCCCTGACATTTTATGCAGTATACACTTCTCAATCTTTGTTTTATGGTTTTGTTTTTTTGTTTTGTTTTGTTTTGTTTTTTGAAGAACAGGTTGCCAACAATCTCATATTCTAAAGAAAGTTAAAAATCTGTAAACTCAAAGTGTTTTAAATATGTTCTCATCGGCAACATTTCTCAACAAAATAAATAGGTCATTACAAATGAATGTCACCTTTAAATTTTGCTTCAACATTTTTTTGTAATTTTTTTAAATTTACATTTTACTTTCTCCTTCTTGGCTACGATAAAGCAATACTTGGTTTTTATTTCAGCTGTTAGATATTCATAAACATCTAGCTTCTGTAAACCTGGGGTTTTGCTCTTTCCTTCAGTTTCCCATTCATTCTTTCTCCTTGGCTTCCAGTGCATACCCACCCTAACCACACCAGTTTGCCTCCTTTCCCCCTAACTCCTGGAATTCAGGTATTGTTCATTGCTCTAGCCTTAGTTTTTTGCTTTTATCATTTTATTCATCATCCCTCAAACAAATCACTGACATCTATACCCACAGTGATTGATAGATACCTCAAATGGAAGATACCTCAATACTTCATCTCCCTCCTACCCAAACCTCAACTATTTTATCTCTTGGTATATGATACAATGCCTCTTTCAAACAAACCAATAACCCTTAACTCTCGTTTTTTTCACCTCCTTATTAACTTCAATGAACAAGGTTTACTGATTTTACCTTTCTAATACATCTTTATCAGCCGGTGTGGTAATGCTCACCTTTAATCCCAGCACTCAGGAGGCAGAGGCAGGCAAGTCTTTGTGAGTTTGAGGCCATCCTGGTCCACATAGAGTGTTCCAGGCAAGCCAGGGTACATAGTGAGACTCTGCCTCAAACACACACACACACACACACACACACACACACACCCCTCTTCATCTCTACTGCTACTGCATTAGCTTTGAGCCCATGTTGTTTTCCTCTAAACCGCAGGTGGGGAGCCATTCCCAAAGCCCCTCAATATCCCTGACTTCCTACCCAGGGGTAAGTCATCTTCCAGATCAAACAGCATATTTACTTGTACAAACTCTTCAAAGATTACTGGGTAAAAGTCAGGAGCATCGAAACCCGCCTTCAAAATCAGGGAATAAACATTGATAATATCTGACACTTGGAATTAGGTAGCTGATGTTAGCTCTCATTCTTCACTGTGTTGTACCTACATGTAGCTGGGAAACCACCATACAGAATTGAAATTGCTAGTTCGACTGCCTTTCTTTCCCAGACCAGTCGATTGCCTTTCTTTCCCAGACCAGTGTTGCTAGTGAACCAGAATCTTATCCTACTTTGTATTCCTAGGTTCCAGCCCAGTAGCTGGCAATTAGGAATTAAATAAATGATTGTTGAATTGCAAATGTGCTTCACTCGCTGACTGTGGCATGTTATTTCTTCAGGGTGAAACACCTTTCTCTCCATTAACAGCAGCACACTCCTAGGACCGTTGTGGGTGGGAGGGATACTCACCAAATTCACTATAACCCGTAAAAGGCTGAGTAAGGGCACTACAAAGAATAAAGATTGTCAGAAGACTGGTAGTCGAGAAGCCTGACCGATGAGTCCCCAAGCAAAGTCTGCACCCAAGTGCAGTGTGCACAGTCCTGAATGCTCTGCGGCCCCACTCTGGCGTGGGTTGAACCGCGGGGTGACGGCCATAACCTTTCACAGCTCGCCTCCACTTCGCAGGCTACACCTAGTCCGCTCACAGTCAACTAGAGGTCGCCTGCTGCTGCGGCGGCTTTGGAACTGCCGGCCGCAGGCCCGCCTAGAGTGGTGGGCGGGAACTGTAACGTCACGCGGCGTGCGCCTGGGCGAGCGGAAGCGGAAGCGGCTCTGTTCGCCGCCTCTCCCACCAGCCCCATGAGCTGCAGCGGCTCCGGCGCGGACCCCGAGGCGGCACAGGCCGGTGCCGCCTCGGTCGCGGGTCCGGCGCCCCCGGTATCGGCTCCTGCAGCGCTGCCCGCCAGCACAGCCGCGGAGAACAAGGCCAGCCCTGCGGGGACGGCAGGGGGAC